TTATTTGATCTCTGTATTTGTCTTACTTTGAATATTCTTCTCATTGAAATTCATATTCCTCTCTTCTCGCATCCCTAATGGAATAAAGTATGGTCGTGATCAGTACCGATATTTAAATAACATTTAAATATTTACAGTGTCATGGAACTCTTACATCCACCCACTTGCTACTCCATAACCATTGTATGGTATGAAAACCGAGACTCACGATTTACCTGAAATAATGTGGTTACTCAGTTGTACAGCAGAGGCTCCAACCTCCTACTCACTAATCAAGCTGTTCTTTACCACCTAATGCAGGCTCTCATTTGCTCAGTGAACATTACTGAGTGCAGAATAATATACCAGGGGGTTGGAAGACAGAAGAGTATTGGAAATGTTGGGAAGAATCTGAGATGTAGAAAACAGGGATCTTGCTTACAGTCTCGCTGGGGAGATAGAACACACGAGTCTGACCTCGGGGGAACAATCCCTGAGGAATTTGGCTGTACAGTTGTATCTTGTATAATAATATCCACGGGCTGTTAATGTTAACCTGAGGTGTGGAGTCAGGGAATAGTGAGGGCGGCTCTCGTTTCCTGTGGAATTCTTTAAGGACAGCATCAGTTTAAACCTTGAAGGACAAGTGGCAGACTTGCATTTGTGAAGAGAAGAGGGACACTTTCTAGCAGAGGAAGAGTCACAAATAATCACCAAAGTGGGAATAACAAATTTCTCATTAAATTAGAAGAGATCATTTTGTTTTCAAAGTTTTTATCCTATTTTCATAATAAAATTCTGTGGCCCCAAGGAAAAGAAGTTTCTAGTGTGGCAATGTGTTAATTTGGCTTTAATGCTCATCTACTGATGGCCTAAGTGAGTTAATGAAAATTACCTCTGTCTGTGGCTTCCGAACTTCTAAAACCCAATTAATGGGAGCAAAGACCTCTAGGGGTGCCCCACCTTTATTTTTCTCTGCCACACATTAGAAGAATAAGTTGTCTTGGGCCACACATTAAATATACAAATACTGATGAACAAAAAGTTCTGTGCATACTTCGTGATATCCGACACACAGATAAGCAAAAAGTCCTCACAAAATCAGCATGTGGCCCCTGGGCTGCAGGTTGGACACCCCTACCTTAGATACTTGTCCAGAAGCATTAGCTCAGAACTTTTTCTACCTTTTCTTTCTACATTTGAGTACTCTTTCTTCTCTAAGTACTTATGTACCTCAGTGCTTTGCCCATCCACAATTATCCAGCAACCTGAAATTCAGTAAAGAAATGGTAAGTGAACCAAGACCTTGTGTGTGCAACTGCAGTGTCACGAGATTGTGGACAAGCCCCTACAACAGGAGTCCATACAATATGGACATGTTCCCAACATGGTACGTTCTTCCCTAAATTCTTTTTCAGCCTTCAAGCGTTACACTTTAATTGTATAATTAAGTAGAAAGACCAACAGTATAATAAGAATGGTTATTAGTATCTTACCCTTGTAAGCAATTTGGTGTATTTCCCCCACTCTAAGCTTTTTGAAAATGTGGTATCTTGTAGTTTTACATCCTGCATTTTCCACTTGACATTTATTCACAAGCACTTCATTTCATGAAAGCCTCTTAATGTTCAGATAATCTTAATGGCTATGTAATCTTCTATTTGAAAGTACCACTTACTAAATATTCTAGATATTTGTGTTTTGTTTTCAATTTTATTTTGCAGCATGAATAATGCTACAAGAAATATGCTCTGTGTGTGTGTGTGTGTGTGTGTGTGTATCTGCGTGTCATCTTTCTAGAGTATCAACTTCAGCAAATAGGAGAGTTTGGAAGGTGGGACAAGGGGCTGAAGCTTAGAGGAGTGACACTGAAAAGAGTAGGGAATGAGCTCAGAGAGCAGGTCCACGAGAGCAGCAGACCCCGCACTGCGCCAGAGTCACCGCTGGCATTCAGACCCCTTCAGATTCATCAAGGTCGTTGATCTCCATAATAGTGACCTTGGTTCACAGGGAAAAAGTTAAATAATGTTTTTTATAGTCTGTATGTAAAAACAGAGATTGTGTTTTTATGAATATACTGAAGCCAGTATGTTCATCTTTTCAGGCTGCTATACTGAAATGCCATAGACCCGGGGTTATAAACAACAGACTATATTGCTCACAGTTCCAGAGGCTGGGAAGTCCCAGGTCCAGGTGCCCCAGATCTGGCATCTGTAAGGCCTACATCCTCACAGACAGCTGTCTTTTTGCTATAACCTCACATGGCAGAAGCCGGTGGGGGGGGGGCCTCTGAAACCTCTTTTATAAGGTCTCTAATCCATTCATAAGGGGTGTGCCTTCATGTCCTGATCACCTTCCAAAGGCTCCACCTCTTAATACCTTGGGGATTAGGTTTCAACATGAATTTTGGGGAGACAAAAACATTCAGACCATAACACCAGTTTAGATTTTCATCTAAATGAAAAAGTTTTTATTTCAGGAATTGATATGGGTTGTGATATAACTGAGAGGACTTAGAATGACAAGACCCAGATTCTATTCCCAGCCCTGGTGCCAACCAGTTATATGACCTTGAATGAGTCACTAACTCTTCCTAAAGTCTGTATTCCCATAAAGTGATGGCACGAGCAGCATCTCAGATGTCTTCCAGCTCTAAAACCGGTGCCTTGACAGTGGAAAACTCAGGCAGCTATGAGTTCTGCAAGGTCTCCTGGAGCTTTGCGTTTTCTGCTTGCCCTGTTGCCTTTCTCCTCCTTTGTACCTGCCGCATAATTTGGACCTTATTTCTGATTAAAAGACGACCAACCCTCAGCTTTCACAACGTCTGCACATGAATACACCCAGGCACTCTTTATTGGTGAGATGAAAACTGAGACTGTGTGACTTACGGGGTAGGATTTGGAAGAAGTTCTGAGTTATCACTTAAGGGTCCTTGTTAAGATGGTATTAATAAATGCTAATGAAAGGATCTGAAACTAAGAAAAATCCTGAGTAGTAAGGTGTGGTTTGCATTTGAGCTATTAATGTTATTTAATTGAAGTGCAAGTTCAGTAGAGTGGGGCTTACTGTAGAGAAATTTCCAAGGAGAGCAGTAGCACAATCTGAAGAGACCAAAATAGCATTTCACATTTGGAATATCAGTAACTGAAACACTCATCATTTGCCATAGTGTGCAAAAGTCGAAGAGTTGAATTACCAAAAGAAAATCTTTCCTCTGTTGGAGTATTGATTATGTTCCTGTAAGCGATCTCAAATTCTAGTTTTAACTTTTAAGTCTGGGCATAAATAACCTATATGTTCCCTTCTTAAGGATAAAGGGGTGGTGTTGGTCATGCTGTGTGTTTGAGGGAATGGGGAAGAGAGAAGGCACATTTATTTGAAAGTGATACCTCTGTTGCAGACTCAAGAACAGTAAGCCATGGGGACGGAGAGGTCTGGAAACAGGGAAGAGCTGGGGGCTTCTCCCCTGGGGAAAAAGCAGAGCTGGGTCGTACCTCGCTGCAGGCCTCAGTCGCCACTTAGATCTTATTCTGAGTTCTCAGACCAGCAAGGGCTCTATTTCCATTCTTACAGTTTCCAATGAGCCATATGTCTACCAAGTAGAAAGAGCACTTACAAGTAGAAAGTTAAGCAGATGGTGAAGAGGAAAGGAGAGAACGCAGCTGATTTTT